ATTAATCAAATCTGAGAAGGGAGTAGTGGAAGACTGTTTTGCAGCCAAATCTGACAGAGTGATGTGCACCATGAGGACCTACTACTTGTGATTGGTATCTGAAGCAGGCTGGGAGCAGTTTTTTGGGACTTGGCCTTTAACCTGTGGGGTCTGACTCTATCTCCAGGTAGACAGTGTCAGATCGAGTTAAATTATAGGCCACAGCTGGTATTGTGGAGAAATACTTGATGTGGGAAGAGAAGGCTCTGTACATTTGTTAACCAGAAATGTCAGAATTGAGGTATTCTGTATTAGTAGTAAAGGACACACCCATAAAAGGGAAAGAGTGGGTGGTTTTTCTAATACATCAGGTGACACAGAAAGAGGAGAACATTTCCATCTGTCAATGTCAGTGAAGGCCCTAAGACGTAGTTGCTGTGCTGGTTTTGACAACTAGGAGTCCCAGAGGGGAAAATGAGGCAGCAGTGGTCTAGGTATGGATCACAATTTTACAAAGAAGATAATGTGTAATATGCATTTGGGGAAAGATGAGATATTCTAATAATATCTCAGGGGGAACAGATTGGAGAATAGTGGGAGATAATTCGTGTCAGGTGTTCTCAGACTAGACCCCAATATTTTCAAACCAGAGATCGCTGGGAGCCAGAATAGACAGGTGATTTATTTTTTCATGTGATTCTAACAATAGAACCAATAATTTATCTTTCCAGAAAAGAGCAGATACTATGATTCCATTCATCTGAAGGATTTAGAATAGTCAACATGAAAGAGACAGAAAGTAGAATGGTGGTTACCAGGGAGTGAGTGGAGAGTAGGGATTTATTGTTTAAGGGGTACAGAGATTCAGTTTGGGATGATGAAAAAGTTTTGGAGATGGATAGTGGTGATGGTTGCATAATAATGTAGCTATATTTAATGCAACTGAACAGTACACTTAAACATGGTTAAAATGGTAAATTTTGTGTATTCTTTAGCAAAATAAAAATAAGAAACAGGAAAATAATTTGTCTTTAGGACAGACACTTGCTTTAGTCAAGAAAGGATAATTTTGGTGAGCTTTCTCGTAGTACAACTAGAAGGTATTGAAGATGCTTCATATATGGATGGACTGCATTTCTGTTCAATGGGCCTTGCTCTTTAGAGATGATTATGGAACAAACTTATTTTTGATACACTCTAAACAGAGCTTCACATAGGAAGGGAGAAACCTGAATTTGTTGATGTGAAGGTAAGGAGAGAAGTGTTCTGCCCCAGAATCATGAGTAGGCCTCAGTAGCATGGCCACACCCCAGGGCTAATGAGAGGTAGCTGTTGGATACCTCCACAAAGAAGTAGTAATGCCCACATCAGGTGATCCTAACTTTAACTTTTTCATTTCCTTCTACAAAATTGTAATTTTTAAGTTATCATCAAGCCTTCAATATAGTTCACAGGCCAGCAAACCACAGCCGGTGGACCAGCCACCTGTTTTTATAAGTAAAGTTTTTATCTCATCACCGATACTTGTTTATGTATTATCTGTGGCTGCTTTTGCATGACACCTACAGAGTTGAGTAGTTGTGGCAGAGATTGTATGGTCTATGAAACCTAAGATGTTTATTATCTAGTCCTTCCAAGAAAAAGTTTGCAGAAAAATTTGTTACAGATTCAAGTCAGTTGTGTTTGAGAGGGAACCAGAGGTGCCCTGTTCACTTTCTGGAATGAAGCCAGCCAGAAAGGTGCAGAGGTGGGGTGCCTGGCTGGCTCCATTGGTTGAGAATCCAACTCTTGATCTCGGCTCAGATCATGATTTCATGATTCATGAGATCGAGCCTCACATCAGTCTCTGTGCTGACAGCACGGAGCCTGCTTGGGATTCTCTCTCTCCCTGTCTGTCTCTGCGCTTCCCCTGCTTGATCACTCTCAAAATAAATAAATAAATATTTTAAAAAAGAAAAGAAAAGAAAGAAAGGTGCAGAAGTGATCTGCAGATAGATCCCAGGGCAGCAGTCAGATGAGAGGCACCCGCTGCTTTGGGCTTATAGAACACTGAAGCACAGCCCAGAATATCTCAAAAATCCTTCAGGAAGGGACGGAGCTTCCTGTCATAACTTAAGCCAGACCTTGGACCTTAAATATAATTGGGTTATATATTTGAGATCCCATTTATGAAGGTTTGGAATTTTGGACTCTATGTAGGACTAATCTCAATCCCTAAGGAGATCCAGGAATATGACTTTAGCACAACCTCTAACAGTTGAACAAGTGGTGTTATTTAATGCAGCATGACACTGCACAGGCATGCTCTGTAATTACATCCCAAAGTGAATAGTTTGTTGCTATTTACCTAACAGCTTTTGCAGTGGAGGGGGAGTGAAAGCAGGGAAGGAGGTGGGATGCACTTTTTTGAATAAGGACATTTCAGGCATAACTCCAAATGTATACAGGACTGCGCAGGCTTTTCATTAACATTTCTTAAATTTTTTAAATCTTAAGATTTAAATTTCCCTAGAGTAGTGAATGAATCACTAGCCAGCTATTGTAAATTGAATTCCCCTTTCATAAAATGAAATTATTCCTAGATAGAGAAGAGAGGTACATTTCAATTGCAAGTCATTCTCTACCCTGTGTAGCTGTGGGGAATCCCAAGTGAGTGGTGCTCAGATTTTGGCATCATCATTTGGCAAGGCAATGGAAATCAGGCTGAACTTCTTTATCAGAGAACAGAGTGTTACTGTAAGTACTATTAGATCTGAGTTTTGGATTGCCTGTTTACGTGTAATGCTCTAGCTGGTACAACCAACTACCTGGTCTTAGCAGGAAGGGCTCAGATGCTGAGCATGCTGCTATTCCTTAATCAAACACCACTCTCCATCACTCCCTCCCACAGACTAGGTTACTGGAACATCTGTAACATGTGAATTAAATTCAACAAACTTCACTCTTGTTAAAAAAGATGACTTAATCCCCAGGAACTGCAATCTTTAGTTGACCATGTATTTTGAAATCACGGTTATGTCCAAAGTTGAAAAGAGAAGCAATCTTTGGCCTTAGCAATGATTGTTTTTAGAGCATTTTGGGTGCTAGGCCTTCAATGTGTCTGTAATTATGTGCCATAATAGGATTATCTTTTCATTCATTCATTCATTCATTCAAATATACATTCCAGAGATGTTGAGCACTTAGTATGTGGCAAACATTGTTCCCAAATACAAGGATGAAAAATGCATAGTTCCTGATCTTACAGAAGTCATATTTTTAGGAAAGAAACTCTGCTTAGGTTAAATTCGATTATGGTTATCATGACTAATACCATTGTCATCAAAAATAAGATAAGACCATAAGAATATTTGATTAATATTTTGACATCATTCATACCAGATTTGAAGACACTTTGCAAAGTAATATCTCAAAAAATGTCTGACTAATTGCAGAATTTTTGTCAAAGCTATTATTTGGAAGGATATTACTGATTTGTGCATATTACAATCTTCTTTAGTATATTTTTGACATGTTATTTTGGTCATAATGTGCTAATAACATCTATTGTAGTGTTATCACAGTGGCTTAGACATAGTAGACATCCAATAAACATTTCATTGAATTTTAGATTTGGAAAGCATCTTTAGGAATCATCTAGTCCTGTGGTCCTTGACCTTAAATTGGGTTTTGAACCCCTCAAAAATCTGATGAAATATGTGGGCTTTTTTTCTCATTAAGAAGTAGCATATTTACATACACTCAGACTCTTGTATACAACTTTAGGGGATTGGTGGATCACCCTATGTATCATCCACAAACTCCTACATCTTCCACTTTATAATTGTTGGAAATCATTGCCTAGAACAGGAGTTGGAAAGCTATGGCCCCGAGGCCAAATATAGCTCATCTCCCATTTTTGTATCGCCTGTGAGCTAAAGATGGTTTTTACATTTTTGAATGGTTTCATATTATCTTCAATTTTGCCTCCTGGATGGCAAAACCTAAATTATTTACTATCTTGTCCTTTATAGAAAAAATTTGGCAAGCCCTGGCCTAAAATGGTTAGAAAATATTTTCTAAATCACTCAGCCAATTACTAGAAAACAGAAGACTAGAATTCATACCACTTGATTCCTCATTTATTGTTCTTCTCATTACCCCTGTTGATCAGTTAAAATATTGACTGATTGATTGACTTAAACCCAATAAAAAATATAACAAGGAGTTGTAAATCTGGAGTCCTTAATAAAATTTCTTAGACAAATAATTATGCAGTTGTATAGGAAGTTGAAATCCAGGAATTAAGTGACCCATCCAAAATTATATTACAAATTTGTTAAGCAAGATTAAACTCAAACTCAAGTTGTATATTACTGACTTACTTTTTTAAAGTTTACATTATATTTATTTCACATATTTAAAGTACAATACTTCTTGCAATTCTGTGATTTTAAAGTTGTTTTCAGATTCCCTCTGTCATGTAGTACTGCAAAAATAGGATAAAAGAATCATAATAACCATTATTACACATGTTACTTTGAATATACTTCTTTTAGAAATTTCAAAGTGCCTGACTGCTGTTGATTGTTTTCTTCTATTGATTAAGGCTGCCAGAATAGTTTTAAACCATATGTGAGAATATTACCAATAATAGAGCTTAAAGATTTTTCAGAGGAAAAAAACACTTAAAATATAAACATTTTAATAATATGTAAATGCAATATCAAATGCCCAAAGGCCTCTATGATGGTTTTAACAAGACTCTCTTTTTTTCTTTTTCTTGACAGATTCCAAAACCACTTTTGTTCATTTTTGACCACATATAAAAACTGGGTGTCACCTTCAGAGCAGTGTGTACTACATGGCAAGAACTGGACAATTCCATTTCTAAAGGAGGAATTGTGATCAAGAGGAAATAAGCTTGCTTTGTACAGCGAGACTGAAGATTCTGAATTAGAACTTCAATGGTAAGTTCAGTATGTTCTCTTCACGCATAACCTTCATTCATGAGTGCCCCACTCCAGGTCTTCCGCACTTACCTGAAAAAGCCAGACTTCTCGGGGAGGTACTGAGATGGGCCACCTGTCTGAATTCCAGATGGGATTCTTTTCTAGTAATAAGTCTGCTTGGCCACTTCCATGGACTGAGTGCATTCGAAAGGCCCAGCCAGTTCACTAAACCAAAAGGAAACTGGTGTGTTCGAAGTTCCGTAAGAGCGTCAACAGCAACCACAAAACCTCAAAACTATTTCAAACACACTAGCGTTGAAAACCCAGGCTCTTAAAAAGATGAACAGTAATCCAGGTTGCAAAATGACAACAAGGCCAACTGTCAAGAAATATTAAGGTTTTAGGACTACTGTAAGAATCCATTAAGGAAAAAAAATGATATTATCAAAAACAAAAAGGGGAGATAAACTGTGTGTTGTGTTTGGGATGAAAGATTGTATATGTAGTATTTCCCTTCGAAAATTGACAGAGTTGTTCTGTCACCCACTGGGAACCTAGAACTACTATTCTTTTTTTTTTTTTTTTTTCAACGTTTATTTATTTTTGGGACAGAGAGAGACAGAGCATGAATGGGGGAGGGACAGAGAGAGAGGGAGACACAGAATCGGAAACAGGCTCCAGGCTCTGAGCCATCAGCCCAGAGCCCGACGCGGGGCTTGAACTCACGGACCGCGAGATCGTGACCTGGCTGAAGTGGGACGCTTAACCGACTGCGCCACCCAGGCGCCCCTAGAACTACTATTCTTATCATGTATTTTGGTGATTAGCTCTGTCATGGATATATAATATTGCCTATGATATGACAGTGAACAGTTGATTTACTTAGAGTGAGAGAGAGGATGGTTCAAGCAGAGACCATTAGAGTGGCAGAGTAAGGGAGTACATTTGTCCACAGCCTTGCTTTTTAGACTCTTAACATTATCTCCAAAAGAAGATAAGCACACAGTCACAGAGATAAACGGCAAGTATTTGAAAGAAAAATAAGTTCCTCAAACTGCTCTAATTTGTCTAGCTTATTATGCAGCACTGTAATAGTCTAGAAATATTATAATTATTGTGTAAATTACATGATAATTTTGCATAGAAATCTGTGAGTTAAAATGCTAATTTGTTAAATATCAACATTTTAAATATACTCCAGTTTTTAGCTCTAATTTGACATTTCTGCATTAGAAAAAAGAGAAAAGCGAGCATCAAACACACCATCCCTGGGTTCTCTCTACTTTCAAGGCCCTAATTAGAATTATGATTTTGGTAATTTCTGATGATTTTCGGTTTCCTGTCAAATGCTGAAGAATATTCTAGGCAAACAGTTTGCAATCCCTGTTTCCTATTGTTCACATTTCTTGTTTTACGCCTAGTATTATTAGTGCATCTGACTGTTGTTTTTTAGTTTCAAGGGAAGGCCTCTTTGTCTGGAAAGTCTTCAGCTGCAGCAGGTGTGCCCTTTTTGTGTTATAGGAGTAAAAATGTTATATGTTTCAAAATAACTCAAACTGCAGGAATTTTAATTTTTAGTAATGGTAGAGAAGACTGTTCCAGACACACCCACCTTCTAAGAACAACTAAAAAAAAAAAAGAAAAAAAAAGGATAGAATATAAAACCTATTGGTTTGAAGGCTATAGAAAGCTGGCCAGGTCATGAGAACCTGAAAAAGCAAAATCCCCAGGAAAAGAGAAGTACAAAGGGTGAACCTGATTTTTAATTCTAGTTTTCACTCAAGGTGTTTCTGATTTGTAAGTGGCCACTGAGAGGCAGAGAAATTGAGCAGAAAGGGGTAGTTAGGAAGCTCGGAAGTGAAGGACACCTGTTTAGGGGCAAAATTAGGGTCCAAGGACCACAAAGAAGGTGGCACCCTTATAGTCAAGCTTTTAAGTGGGACCTTTACAGGACTTCACCTTTGGAGAAGGCATGAACTAGAAATGCTATGTCATCACAAGATTAGAGCCAAATTTCTAATCTACTAAATTAGTTAGGTGAATAGATAATCAGTGAATAGATTAAGGGATTCATCATCATCTTAACAGCCTCCCTCTTACCATGAGCAAAAGTTATCTCTGGAGGGGCACCTGGGTGGCTAAAACCGGTTAAAACCTCCCACTCTTGATTTTGTCTCAGGTCATGATCTCAGTTCGTGAGATCACATTCTGTACTGGCAGCATGGAGCCTGTGTGGGATTCTCTCTCTGCCTCTCTCTGCCTCTCTCTGCCTCTCCCCTGCTCACACACACTCTCTCTCCCTTTATAAATAAATAAATAAACACTTAAAAAAAGTAATTTCTGGAGCCAAAAAAAAAATTCTAGAAAATGATAACACTTTCTAAATCAGTAAATTAGCTCTGAAAATTTTTGCATGTATTATTCAAGGTTCTGTTAAAATATATATATATAATTTGAAGATACAATTGGCTTTATTTTTTAAAGTTTATTTGTTTAACTTGATATAGAGATTGGGGGAGGGGGGCAGAGAGAAGGGAGAGAGAGAATTCTAGGCAGGCTCCACACTGTGCTGTCAGTGCAGAGCCCCATGTGGGGCTCAATCTCATACTGTGAGATCATGACCTGAGCCAAAATCAAGATCAGATGCTTAACCCACTGAGCCATCTAGGCACCCCTATAATTGGTCTTATTAAATGACCCATGAATCAGGCAGCATCCCATCTAGCAAGTAGAGGGGAGTTCCTCAAGTTTCAATTGACATTAATAGGCATACTTATGTCAGAAGATAAGACCTAATAACCAAAATCACGAAAATAAACCTAAAATAGAAACAAATGCATAAGGAGATACAGATTGAAGGACTTTAAAATAACTAATTAAGGGGCACCTGGGTGGCGCAGTCGGTTAAGCGTCCGACTTCAGCCAGGTCACGATCTCGCGGTCCGTGAGTTCAAGCCCCGCGTCGGGCTCTGGGCTGATGGCTCAGAGCCTGGAGCCTGTTTCCGATTCTGTGTCTCCCTCTCTCTCTGCCCCTCCCCCGTTCATGCTCTGTCTCTCTCTGTCCCAAAAATAAATAAACGTTGAAAAAAAAAATTTTTTTTAAAAAATAACTGATTAATAGTTTGAAGAAATAAGGTGAAATGCAGAGAATTTTACATTTCTTTTGGGAATCTAGCTTTTAAAATTCAAATGGAAATTCGGAAACAGAAAAATAAAATAATAATATAAAATACTCAATTGATGGGGCTAATAGAAGATGAGACACAGAAAATGGAGCTAGAATAAATCAGAAGAAAATATCAGATTGAAGAACAGAGGAGGGAAGAAAGGATAAAAATTACACAAAATCACACAGAAGACACAGGGGAAAGTCCTAACATGCCCAGAATTGGTGTCCTAGAAAGAGAGAAGAGAAAGAATTAGGCAGAACCAATATTTAAAGAGGTAATAAGATAAAGAATTATACAAACCCCCTAATATAATAGTATCTAAATGAGTGAGCAATCACAAACAAAGGTTTTAGACCACATGAAAAAAAGTACATGACACTAAATGTTAAGAAACACACTTGAAATGCAACACACACAAAAAAAACTAAAATAGATGAATGAAAAAAAATTTTAAGGCCAATATAACTATCTATATTTTATATATTTATCAGGCAAATTAGACTATAAGGCAAGACACTTTATTGGCAATAAACACAGGAAATTTTATTATGATAAAAGAGTTAATATTTCCAAAATATTATAGTTGTAAATTTGTTACACTTAATAATGAGTTTCAACATATGTAAAGCAAAATAATGATGCAACTAAAAGGAAAATGGACAAATCCATTATCATAGGGAGATTTTTAACAGATGTCTCTTAGTAACTGATACACCAAACAGACAAAAATTCAACATGGATACAGATTTGAACAATGCAATAAATAAACGACCTTATTTACATACCTTATACTCAGCAAATGCAAAATTCATATCAAATGCCAAGCCAGTTAACCAAATGATGAATCTAAAAGAAACCTTAAAAAATATCAAAAAGTAAAATTATACAGAGCACATTTTCTGACAACAGTGAAGTTAGGATAGAAATCAATAATGAAACAAGATAATATTAAAAATTTTATGTTTGAAAAGTACTCAAACTTTAATTACTTAGTTTTTAAGTAATTCAAACACTAAGAGAATGAATACAAATGAAAATTAGGAGATATTTTTCTTTGAATTATAGTGAAAGTTCAACGTATCAAAACTTTTAGAATACAGCTATAGACATACTTAAATGCTTTTATTAGGAGGAAAAAGCTGAAAATAACCTCTTTTCCTTTGGCTTGCACTGGGCCCATGGGCCCAGTGGTATTGCCATGGGCCACCACCCACCCCGGTGTTACTGGTATTGTAAGAACAAGCGGCGTCTTGTTTCTGCAGAGGTGTCCCTGATGCCAAGGTCCGCATCTTTGACCTTGGGCAGAAGAAGGCAGAACTGGAGCAGTTCCCACTGTGTGGCCACACAGTGCCAGAGGAATACGAGCAGCTCTCCTCTGAAGCCCTGGAGGCTGTTTGTATGTGTGCTAACAAGTACATGGTGAAAAGCTGTGGCAAAGATGGTTTTTGCATCCAAATGCGGTTCCATCCCTTCCACGTCATCCTTATCAACAAGATGTTGTCCTGTGCTGGAGCTGACAGGCTCCAGACAGGTGTGTGGGGTGCCTTTGGAAAGCCCCAGGGCACAGTGGCCAGGGTCCACATTGGCCAAGTCATCATGTCCACCAGTACCAAGGTACAGAACAAGGAGCATATGATTGAGACGCTATGCAGGGCCAAGTTCAAGTTCCTTGGCTGCCAGAAGTTTCACATTTCCAAGAAGTGGGGCTTTACTAAGTTTAACGTGAATGAATTTGAAGACATGATGGCTGAAAAGTAGCTTATCCCAGATGGCTATGGCTTTGGTCAAATACATCCCTAATTGTAGCCCCTTGGACAAATGGTAGGCTCTGCACTCATGAGAACCTTGACATTGCCTGCTCCTTATTCACGCCACAATAAACCCTGCTTCCTGTCAAAGAAAAAAAAAAAGCTGAAAATAAATCATCCAAGTATCCATTTCCACTAGTTAAAAAAATTAGGCTGAGGCAACAGGCACATGAAAAGATGCTCAACGTCACACCTCATCAGGGAAATACA